CCTTCAAACATTGCCATTACTGTGGCATTTTCTATACCTTCCCTGTAGCTCAGGTGTGCCTCAAACATTGCCATTACTGTGGCATTTCCTATAATTTCCCTGTAGCTCAGGTGTGCCTCAAATATTGCCATTACTGTGGTATTTCCTATACTTTTCCTGTGGCTCAGGTGTGCCTCAAATATTGCCATTACTGTGGTATTTCCTATACTTTCCCTGTATCTCATGTTTGCCTTAAACATTGCCATTATTGTGTCACTTCCTATAATTTCCCTGTGGCTCAGGTGTGCCTCAAACATTGTCATTACTGTGGTATTTCCTATAATTTTTCCTGTAGCTCAGGTGTGCCATGACTGAAAAATGTGGTACGAAGTATCTGATATTCAGATGCACTAGATCCCAATCTATGTTATTTATCATTTAAATCGAAACATCAGAAAATCAATCGTTTTTGAGACCTATAACAACGTCCTCGGTGAACGTTCTTCGCTTGTGCGGTATTGCTTGAGTTTCATGTTTCATGTCCTGTTGTAAACATATTATTTTTGTTTGTCCGTTTATCTGTTATCTTTTAACATCACTCCTACTGATAGTCTTCGGGTGTTCCAAAAACAGCGGTTTACAATCTTTTCCAAGTTTCTAGACATTCTTCTATTGGGCCAGTAGAAAGGTTTAGCCGAAACGTCACAATGTAAATATAGTGTGCCCCTTGTTATTAGCCAAACAGTTTTTCTCAGCCGTTATCTCCTGATTAATTCATGTAATTATTGTCGAGAAAGACATGCTATGTGACAAGGTTTTATCTTATCACATGTTCTCTGTGAACAATTACAAGCTATTACTAAACAAGGCTATTTTCAAAATTAGTGCAACAATATAAATGTTTAATCTTCTGAAACAATAACGAAAATTTGGAAATCTACGGTAAGATGTCTTGCACATGTATTGTTTCTCTACCAAACAGAGCACAAAGCTACTCAAGAGCTATCTGCATTAGCCGTCCCAAATTTTGAACTGATAGAGGAAAGGCAGCTAGCCAACACCACCCACCGCCAACTCTTGGACTACTCTTTAGTAACGAATAGTGGGACCGACCAACAAATTATAACGCCCCCATAGCTAAAAAGGGCGAGCATGTTCGGTCATGGAATTCGAACCCGCGATCCTCAGATTGCGAATCGAATGTCCTAACCACCAGGCCATCAGACGCAGTGAGCTTAAACAAAATTGTAAAACATTCGGAAGTTTTCGTAACAGTTTCATAATAATCATAACTTTAAAGCAGGTACTGAGTTATCTTTACAACATTTGCACCTCAGATCTAATTAACTCAATGAATTTTGAACCAAAGACATTTGGTCCGTATCTAGAAAACTGTCCGTTTCAAGAAAGCATGAAATTGTATAGGTGGAGCTTAAACGGAATTCACTGATAGCATCATTATCAACAGATTGTTCTCCATAAACTGTTGTGTAACGGAAGTTCTCATAGAAGCCCACATAATACGACGTTGTAAGTCAACCATACACCCAGTTGTAGGCTGAACTAACACCATCGTGAAGATATGCGTTCAGATACCAGCCAGAAACTTGTGATTTACATAACAGTAACTGACAGAAACATGACAGTACACAGGAAACTGTGGCCATAGAAGATTATCCAGGAGATTAAGGGGTCGTTCATAATTGTACCAATTACACAACCGTGCAAAATGCGTGCGTTGGTTGGGAAGGATGGGGAGAAGTTGTGCACTCTTTTAAAACAAATTACAGAGAGCTTTGTTTGCTATCGATACATAACATGGGTAAAACGTATTCATTAACAACAGCTTCGAAACATTTTAGGGGGTTAAAACACCCCATTTCCTTTTTTCTATTACCCTGTTTATAACGGCTAATGTATAGTAATATTCCATTTCAT